CAGTAAACACATTTTTTTGGTTTTTTATTAAAACAGTTTTGTTGAAATATGATTTATAGAATTTATCTATTTTAACAAGCAGTTCAAAGATTTTTAGTAACTTTACTGTGTCGTGCAACCATCTCTACAATTCAACTTTAGAACATTTTCATCACTGCAGGACAATCCCTCATGCTCATTAGCAGTCACCACCCATTTCCAGTCCCAGGCCTACACAAACATTAATCTTCTTTCTGTTCCTATACATGTATTTCCTGGATGATTAATACAAATGGAATTATACAGTATAGTAAACACATTTTCATCTATTTATTTTTATATTTAACTAGGTTAAACATATAGCCAGAATGAAATGTTTAAATTTTCTTTCCAGAAGTTTAAACATAGTTTTTTTCATACTTACTTCTTCTGCTGCTTCTTTCTCATACTGAAACAGTTTTTCTTTCAAATAATTATATTCATTCATTAATTCCTTATTTTTTTCTTCTAGAAGAAGATCTTCCTTTCCATTCTCAAGACAGTCTTCTTGGATATTAATGACTATCTCTTCATTATTGCCTTCCTTATAAGCATCCTTTAGTTGTTGTTCAAGCAAGAGATTTTCAAGTTCTTGTTGACGTATTCTCTCCTCTAAAGAGTTCTGCTTTCCAATGGAATGACTCTCTTTAGCTTCCTCACTTGGATGCATCTGCTTCATTTCCTTTATTTGATGCTGTGCTTGCTTTAGATAGCTTTTTTGATAACTTTGAGAATCCTAAATAAAACAAAACAAACTTTTAACTAGTATTCAATAAAATAACATATCAGGGTTATTTCTGAAGTGAGAGAACAACCTGTACATTCATGCAATTAAAAGTTGCTATAAGTGGATATCCAACTGGAGAAAAAGTTGAAGCAAAACCTTGAACCTTAGAGAACATACATTTCAAAAAGTTCAAAAGTTTATTTGAAGTCAATGGATCCATAAAAGTAAACACACACACACGCGCGCGCACACACTCTCTCTCTCTCTCTAGAGAATTTTTAAGAATATCGGAATTGGAAAAGCCTTTCTCTGAATTACAACAAACTCAAAGCATAAAGTTAAATGCTAAAAATTTTGACTGAATTAAAATCTTGGAAAAAGAAAATTGCATTTATACTCTGATATCTAACCCAGACACCACCCCATAGTAAGAGCTTTACCTCTACATCTATTTGGACAGATAAAATCTCTCAAAGTTTTGAAAGTTCTGTTTCCCTGATCATATTGTATTGTGATTTGACTCAACATTTTTTAGTCAGTTGTAAGAATTACATTTACTAAATCATAAATCTAGACATTGTACTAAGCACTTCTACACACATACATTGATGAACTTATTCAGTTATCACAATCCTTAAAAAAGAGAGGTTAAAAATATAAGCAAGCTGCAGGATTTTCCTCAGGGCTTCTGATTCTACTTCTAGTTCTCCATCAGATCACAGGTACTTCTGTGGTGTAACTATATCAACATAAAAACAGAGAAACAAAAAGACACAGGCATAAAATGTGTCTTTTGTCTTTGTCACCTGGATTCTCCATGAAATAGCCAGATTGAGAGGATGTGACATGTGGGGCCTCAGAAACAGAAAAGAAGCTTTCCCTTTTCTGCACTAAGCTATTCTTTTCCCCACTGCTTGTTCT